TCACTCACTCACTCACTCACTCACTCACTCATTCACTCATTCACTCACTCACTCTTACACTTTCTCTTTCTCACTCTGACCCACACACCCACTCTCACTTCCTCATCTTCATCTTCATCTTCATCTTCATCCTCATCCTCATCCTCATCCTCATCCTCATCCTCATCCTCATCCTCATCCTCATCCTCATCCTCTCCCTTGTCCTCTCCCTCTCCCTCATCCTCTCTATCTCCATTATCTGTCATTCAACTTACCAGAACCCCATCACTTGTGCCACGAGGTGTTCTTGAATCGTGTGGCGCCAGATGACACCTGCAACCTCTGGTCGCGCCACACACCGAATGGCAACGTCTGATGCCTTCACAACTCCTCGCACACATGCCAACACTCCCCCTCCACTCTCAGAGAGCTTGGAAACGAGGTTAGCATTGATCTCCAGCTCTGGGACATTCTGTGATGAAAAAAATTAATCAAAATTTGGAATGTAAAGACATAAGAGACTCAAATATCTTGTCAAAATAAAGCATGATGGAAGTGTAGAACAATATGCAGTTCGAGGTAGTGGTGGAGTTGGGTAATAAAACCTATAGAAGATGATAGAATGATACAAACCCAACACAAAATTCTTCTATGGCATCATATGTTCAAATGCTTCCTAAATATGCTATACGATAATGATGAGAGGTGAGAGCCCAATTCAGTTGTCGCTCACCTTATTTACAAGTCGAGGGTAAACTGCACTGACCGCATAACTCGCATTATCTGCTATATGCCAAGCAGTTCATGTACTACTATAGGTTTGTCAAAATAACATTTTGTTAATCTTCAGTGTCTGCTGTTCTACATTTATGTTTATAACATCTTTTATTCATGTTGTTATACTTCCTTTACATGTTTTAAGATTCATTTTTACAGTATTTTACAATAATCTTCTGCACATGCTCATTTTCAAGCCCAGGATTTGACAGGTTGATAAAAGGAAGCTGGTGAGAAATGTTACATTTTCAGTGTTGCATCAATTCTGGGTTATTTTTAAGACTATATAAGGCCACAAAGAAGATATGGAATTTAGTTTAAAATCTAAGCCCATCAAGTGCCCCTAATGCTGAAAAAAAGTGATTAAAAATAAAGTAATCCAGACAGTAGAAAGAAACGAACAAAAGTTTGGTGTTTCCAGGTATAAAGGTATTTAGTTTATAGTTTTACGGTATGGACGCGCCTCTACCTTGCTGTACATATCAGGGTTAAAAATAATGTTTCTTGACAGGTGGGCTGGGGGGCAGGGCCCCCCATCAACCCTCCGCTCAGGCAGTGCCCTGAGGGTACATGTAGTCATGGCAACTTAGATTGTTAAAAATGTTTGTGACATGGAGTTAGGTCAGTTAACTGGTCATGACAACTTGTACGATTACCACTTGGGGTATGAATTCCGGTAGAATTTACCAAAAGATTATTGGAATTCCTATAGAATATTTCAATTTTGGGGGCATCAGTTCCTAGGATTTCAAAAATGGTGGGTGTATCTGTTGAGTCACTAGTCAATTTTAAGCATTTTTTTGTGCTGGATTTATGGATTTTTGTTCTCTTATTCTTGTTAGTTAATCTTCACAGTATGGATGCAGGGGGGGAGTTTGAAGATGATTGTCTTGAAGAGGACAAAAAGTTGTAGATGGTGGTACTTGAAATAGTCTGCAGACACCATCAGTAACGCCACAAATAAAGGAGAGAGATCACAGAACACGTTCCCTGTGCAAAAATTATTTGGTCAAATTCTGTCCGTGCAAATGTAGTTATCGGGTAACTTTCCGTGCATGCTTAGTTTTTTTACAAATCATCCTCCACGCATAAAACCTTTTGACCTTTTTGTGCCCTTGTTTCATCATCCATCCACAGATCCATCCGTGCAAATGTAGACAAAATGATGTTATCCGTGCATGAAATAATGTAATATTCCTTGCACAAGAAAAAGGTTCTCCAGTCTGTAGTGGAGTGAATACTTTTACTGGAACTTTTCATGCCCTCCCCTGCTATTGGGGCCAAGTTTGTCGCTAAAGGGGAGTTTCCGGGCAATATAACCAACATATTTGCACTGTAGACGGTGAAGCGAAGCCAACGACATCGAAATCGTCGCGGTCCGCTTGGCAGACGTATTCCAGAAAATTACCGGATGGTTTTGTCAGCCTATCCCCGGACGCCTAGACAGTATATATTTCTTTCCTATTCTTATTCATTTCTAGAAATTCTCATAACACAAGAGCCATTCCGGTACCTTGACAAGGCAATGTAATCGTGACTTTCTCTCCACAATCACGCAGACTTATTTTCGGTCATTTACCATCTTCTTCTCACCTTCAGATTGTGCACCATTTCTCTCCCAGCTTTCGCAAAGGTGTAAAAGGAATAGGCAAGGCCGGCGCTGATGCCGAGGCCCACCATATCCCCGAAATAATCCTTGATCGGCATCTTGATCTCAAGGTTTGTTGTCACTCGCCGATCCGGT